ACTCTTTGATTCTATGATTCTATATATCAACTCCCATTATCCCTCGCAGTGCCGTCTCTTAGATCTGCACTCTCCTGAATACCTACTTGCTGGAGGATGATGGGAATTGTAGTCCAACTTTCTTCTTTCCTAGATCTGTCGGTAGGAAACATTCCCCTGGCGAGGCTGCGGCTGCCTTATCCTGTCCGGTTGGAAAACTCTTGGAAGATCTGGAGAAGCCGGTGGTTGCAATGACAATGGCCTCTCGCCCGCCGGCTCCGCACCGAGGGACCTCCAAAGACGAAGGCGTCCAGTCCAGGTGAATTGGTTGAGCCATAGAAGTAGAAGAGACCTCCAAAGGCCATCAAGTTCAAAAGCCAACCAAAATCTAACCCAACATACCACACAATGCTTGATTTGTTGAGTCAGCCTAGAACAGGCATGGGCAAACTTGGGCCCTCCAAGACTGTTTTGGACTTTGACTGTTTTGGACTTCGACTCCCACAATTCCTAACAGCCTACCGTCAAAGTCCAGTTGAAGTCCAAAATAGTTAAAGTCCAAAACACCTGGAGGGCCCAAGTTTGCCCATGCCTGTTTGGGACTTCAACTGGACTTCAACGGTAGGCTGATAGGAATTGTGGGAGTCAAAGTCCAAAACACGTGGCGGGCCCAAGTTTGCTGTAGTCTGGCCTAGAATCACATTGCCAGCATCCCACCCACATCTCACGTTTGTTGGAGGTTGCAGATATAAATAAAGAGAAGCTTTACCACTGTATCTGAACCAAAATATACCCTGCAGTATAATAATGTCACACTAATGAGTAACAGTAACTTTACTTCAGTTCAAAAGGTCAAACAGAGCAACAATATATACAGCAGTCTCTCTGAATTCTTGGAAGGAACAGTCCTTTTTAAACAATCTTTAAAATACGCTTCATGCCTTAGAAATGATCAGGATTCAGAGAGTTGGCAGCTATTTCCTTCCTGGCTGTTTCCAGTCAGCGCTCTCTTCACTCTCTGAAGTAAAAGTGGCAGTTAAAGCAGTTTGTCTCAGCAGCAAGCTAGAGACAGTAGCCAAGACTGTTTTGGACTTCAACTGGACTTTGACGGTAGGCTGTTAGGAATTGTGGGAGTCAAAGTCCAAAACACCTTGAGGGCCCAAGTTTGGTGTAGGCTGGCCTAGAATCACATTGCCAGCATCCCACCCACATCTCACGTTTGTTGGAGGTTGTAGATATAAATAAAGAGAAGCTTTACCACTGTTTCTGAACCAAAATATACCCTGCAGTATAATAATGTGACACTAATGAGTAACAGTAACTTTACTTCAGTTCAAAAGGTCAAACAGAGCAACAATATATACAGCAGTCTTTCTGAATTCTTGCAGGGAACAGAGGGAATAAACAGTCCTTATACTATATACTCTGGTTTTTCTTCAGGTCGTATAAATCTTTCACCTTTAACAGTCCTTTTAAACAATCTTTAAAGTATACTTCATGCCTTAGAAATGATCAAGATTCAGAGAGTTGGCAACTATTTCCTTCCTGGCTGTTTCCAGTCAGCGCTCTCTTCACTCTCTGTGATGAAAGTAGCAGTTATAACCGTTTGTCTCAGCAGCAAGCTAGAGACAGTAGCCAATCAGAATTCTGGCTCCTAGCATGCTCAGCCAATCAGCTTCCGACACATGTCTTTCCAGTCAACCCACTACATCATGGTCCCCACAACATTGACTCGGCTTGGAGTCTCGATTCCTCCTGACTATGTCCCACTCTGTGTTTCTCTCAGGCCAAAGCAGGACGCCGCCACGACCTCTGACACCGAGGGTCCGGCCATGAAGAACAGCTTCAACAACCCGGCCTACTACGTCCTGGAGGGGGTCCCCCACCAGCTGCTGGTAGCTGCGGAGCAACATGCTTTGGTCGCCAACAATGCCACAAAGCCCCCGTCTGCGCGGAACAAGGTCCAGATCACGGTGCCCATCCATCCGGACCCCCGGCGGCCGCAGCCCCCTTTGCGGGCAGAGGAGAGCTCCGAGGAGGAGGAACCGGGGGTCCTGAACCTGCCGCCCCCCGACTTCCCCCCTCCGCCTTTGCCCAAAGCAGCCTTGGACCCTGACACCGACAGCAGGACCCCCTCGGAGGCCAAGCCCCCCAAGCTGCACCCCAGGCCGGCCCCCTCCTTCCTGGCCGAGGTGCCCGCGGCTGCGCAAACCCCGCTGGACGACCGCTCCTGCTCCGTGCTGCAGATGGCCCGAACCCTCAGCGAGGTGGACTGCTCGGGCAGGGACCCCCTCGGAAGGCCCCCTCCCACCCCCAAGGCCCGGCCAGAGATGACCCACCGGGGAGCCCACCCTGACTACGGCCGGCCCTTGGCCTTCCCAGCACGGTCCATCCGGGAGAGCATCGAGGAGGACTCCGCCGAGGAGGTGGGCAGGCAGGCAGGCAGGCAGGGCGCATTGACTGACTGGGGGTTGTGAGCCTTCAAGCAGTTTCCAACATAGGATGACCCTCAGCCAGGCATGGCACAACTTTGGCCCTCCCTCCAAGTGTTTTAGACTTCAGCTCCCTTCTTTACTCTCTCCCTCTCTTCCTTTGCACCTTCTTTCTTCCTTTCTATTCACTTCCTTCTCTTTCATTCTTATTTTCTCTTCCTTCCTCCCCTCCCCTTCTTTACTCTCTTCCCCCCCTTCATCCCTTCTTTCTTCCCTTCTCTTTCTTTCTTCTTTCTTTCTTTCTTTCTTTCTTTCTTTCTTTCTTTCTTTCTTTCTTTCTT